TATACATATACATACACACATACGTACATATATATATATATATATATATATATATATAAAGTATATTAGAAGCCCTAGAGTGAAAAGAAGAGAAAAAGAGTGAGGGAGGGAGGGGAACTAGTGCTGGCCTATGTCAAGCATTCTGAGGTGTCTACACCTCCAACCGCTCAATCAGACAATCTGGAAAGAAGCAGCAGCCACTCCACTGGTATCGATTAGCCGCCATTTCTTATATCGTCTCCAGCCAAGCACAGACGGGGTCACGAGGACCCCATCCTGGAAACAACACCAATCTCGGTAGACGGTGTTTCGACATGCGTAGCACATGACCGAGCCATCGTAGCCGATGATGCTGGATGTTTTCCCGGATTGGGGTGCCTGCAGCACAACCAAGTACCCGTTTTCTAATCGCCTCGTTGCTGATACGCTGACGCCATCCGAAAATGGCATACCGAAAATGCTATTATGAATTCTTCAATATGACGACCTCTCTTCAAAATATCTCTGTTCACAGCGCGAGACTTCTAAGATTTATGAAATGCATGTATAAAATGGACAGGGCACTGGCGTCGCGCACAGAAATCTAAGGGGTAGCAGACTGAAAAGCTTGAGAGCTGCTGCTCCACATGACGCTTATCGCACAAGCTCTCCTTCCCAGTAGCACTAGCTGTCTGCTAAGGCAAGTTTCAGTAGACATCCGTCATGTTCTAAGGGGTAGCAGACTGAAAAGCTTGAGAGCTGCTGCTCCACATGACGCTTATCGCACAAGCTCTCCTTCCCAGTAGCACTAGCTGTCTGCTAAGGCAAGTTTCAGTAGACATTCCGTCATGTTAGTGAAATCAGTCTTTCCTGAGAAAACCGAGGAGCAATGTACTGCTGTTTCATCATTGTCAGGCACCGTCAACAGTGCGCACCTCGTGAAACTCGGAGAGCTTTGGACGCACGACCTTCTGGCCAGGGTTGAATGTTTGGCGACGGGGGGCTGATCAGCAGTGTAGTTATCTCTCACTTCGGCAATTTTGATACACTTATTTCATCAGCCTACGGGTCGCTGTGTCGAGGAGACACACACTTCAACTTTTCTCATAGTCCTTATCAGGACATGACGTCACATGTTCACACTAGGAATGAGAGTCTTGGCAACTCCCACATGACTTTCAATTATTTCACTATTCGACAAACACACCACTGGTGTGAGTACTCGTTGTGACCGCTGTGCATTCATTTTCCCTTTTTCTTCTAAAGCACTGTGAACTAGCAGACGGCAAGTGTGTGACAACGCTTGATGGATTCTACCTGGAAGTTGGCTTCTCCGTGGTTCTCGGCCTGCTCACTTTCCCAATATTTGCCAGACGATTAGCAAAGTACTTGGATTCCCTTCCTGCCTCTGCCTTTTATTTTCGTCTTCCCAAAAACTCTTGTCTGGCTGGGAGACGCCGCAGAAAACGGAGTGTGAGCTCTTGATGGATTGCCATCACCCACGTGCGTGTGTGTCCTAACTCTTTTCTCATTCCGCCAGCACTGGCCACTCTGAACAATGTTCGCTCTTGGTCTTTATGTGTCGACCAATTCGCACTGTTCCGACCCAGGGGGGGGGCCGCTGTTTCTGCGGATGCTGTGATCACAATGGCATTATGTGAATTTTGTTCTTTTTTTGTTGTTGTTTTTAAAATCTCCCTGCCAACTTTCTGTTTGTGCACACCTATTTTGTCTCGAAATTTCTCTCCGGTTACCAATCTTACCTCTGCGACTTTTCTGCTGATGTGCGTGCGTGTGTCCCACATGTTCAACCTGAATGTGTTATCATGAATTCAGGCTAATGCAAGGTTGTTTGGACAACCATTTTGGGTTTCGAATCATTCTTATTTTTCTCGTATTTTTTATCGGTGATGGGGGATTTTGCCGTATCCGAAAATTAGTCCGTATATTGGTTTCACAGTCAAACTACTGTTTTGATTTCAAAGTAGACTTGGTTAAACATCCTCAGCTCACTCACCTGCTGTTGACGAGCGCAGATGGTCATGATTGGACGACAGAACTGATGAAATCATTTTTCAATTTCTGCTTCTATAATGGTAGGCGAAATGCCACCTGAAAGCTCTCATATTGAGTGAATGATGTTCACGTGATCCAGTCAACGAATTTTCAGTTCAACTCTGAAGTACCATTAGAATGACCTTGGTAGTACAGAACCGCTATATAGTCTCGAAAGCGAATTGATTGCCAAGCTGGTGCATAAAAATTTATAAGAGATAAAGATTCGGGCTCGACAATAGTCCGGTTTACCGAATCACTCCGGTGACCGACTTCAATTCCGATGACATGGGTTCGAACTCTACATGAACTTCAAAATGTCTGCTGGTCCCCATCTTTATAAGCTGTGCGCATGTTGTTCCAGAACTAATCTTTTATAACCCTCTATCAACCCCCGGGATTTACACCGGATCACAAAAGCCGTGGCTCGATGTGTTGTCCATTCCCCAGACATGGTCTCACCGATATAATAGACTACTGATAAGTTAATCTTGTGTGCCAAGTAAACCTCAGACGGAAAACTGTTCGAAAACACCAAGAAACAGCAATCCATCTCTGTCACAAGGATATCTTCTATCGAGTCCCCAAGGCAAATTATTCTAGTACGAGTACCTTCTTAAACTAGCACCCGAGGCGTCTTCTGCCGTATCCGTCATACTGAACGTATACTATGTTGTACAGTGTCTGTCCAATCCCATGCAATTTTCAAAGAACTGTGTATTCGTGAATTGCAAAGGTCACTTGTGCATTAGAACTCCAACGTTATCGATTGGTTCAACTCCATGGACAATTATCGACGAACCCGTTGTTCTAGTTCGTAGGTGATGCTAACAGATGATGGTCCCAACAAAACATCCTCATCTGTGACTCAGGACCGCACTTTAACTGTACACATTCTGGTTTTCAAACCTGCCCGAGAAGTCATGGAGGATGAATTTATCACCAGTCTGACACTCAAGCTTCAGCCCAGTTGGGCTGATATAATCATCTCATCTATTACGTCTTTCCGCTTGCAGTGTTGAGAATTCTCATTTCTTAAACCATTTGTTTTTTGTACATCTCCGTCTGACTATGTCTCATTGAGGCAGTCATCAAGTACCAAGTAACGAGGATTGTAAACAAGTACTTAGGCTCCCAATCATCATCATTGTCAGCTGTGATAACCGCGTACTTGTCGTACAGTTGTTGTAGCTGCCACAGTTTCATTCACCGATGATTGCTTGAGGGGGCGGGGGGGGGGGGGGGGTAAGTAGCTGCGCATTGGAAGCGGGAGCTGATAAATTAGTGCGTAAAATACAGCACTTTAGGTGGACTGTTAAGTGGGGGGTTGGGAAAGGAGCTACGCATTGAAGGCAATAGCTTGGACGCATGAGCGCCACTGAGGGTGCGACTGAGCCATGTCTGACAATCTCTAACCATTGATGTGGCCTGTCTCCGAGTCCCCATCCGGGGAGACGGCAGTGACCAGCGCAGCTCAGTTTGCTAGTAACGGCTTTTATACTTCGCTGCTAAGTCATTGTTTGACCGCCTCTGGCTCTCTTCACCCCTTTACGTGATTGTGTGAAAAGAGCCCTTCCAGAGGGTCAGTGGACTGGCATACGCAGCACGTGGCCAAACCAGCGCATGACCAGCCTCTGAGGTTGATCGATACACACCATCATCAAGTCGACGACTAAAATTAGCAAGCAGCACGATCATTCACCAGAGAATGGTGACATTCTATCACAAATACTGCTGAAAACAGTACTCTCTTTGACAAACGATGGTTCTGCAAATGCACTACGTGTCCTAACTCCGTTCTGTGACGGGAAAGTCGCTTTCTAATTGCCTCGTTGCGCATCCTCCCACATTTGAGGAAGTCTCGGTTTCACTGTTCGAACAAGCAAGGTCTCACAGCCATACAACAAAACAGCCCACACTGTAGCCTGATACACAACATCCTTGATTTTCGGGGATATAGCGCTTTGACGCCATAGGTGTCTCAGATTAGCAAACGAGAGCAAACGAGACCCGGGCCATGCAGATTCGTACATTGACCTTATCTGTCACACTACAATCAGAATTATTACAAATTCCACTACATCGAGTGCCTCCCCTGGATTGTAAGTAGCGTATTCAGTGATTGTATGTGCACGAGTACGGCACTAGACCTTGTGGGTGCATATCAAAGAACGGGATGACTTTGGTCAATTCATTCACAAACACCGGCGCCTTCTTTTCTTCTTTAAAGACGTAAATTTGGCTAGTGACGTCATTCGCGGCGAGTGTCGACCTGACGGCTAGTGTTCGGGTGTGAATAACGGCATGAGGCCAAGATCAAAAAGTTGTGCTCTAACCGACATGTTTCGAAGTCGGATGGGTGGACGACGTTGTGTTTACTGTGACGTAATCAGCTCCAGTAAACAGTCCGAAGGAATGCACGTGGTTCTGTCGTTAGTGATATTTATTCCTGGTTTGATTCTGTTTTTGGGTGGGGGGTTAGTTGGCTTAGTTTCGGTTGATGCTCATGACATTGGACTACGATCATGCACAAATCGGATGCGAGTCGCCTGCATTTTTTCGCTCGGTCAAACCAGCTGAAGCTCAATAAAAAAACAGTAAGATGCCTGATGCGTTCTTTATCAATGGAGATGATGCCAGTGTCAGTTAGATTCAAGCTTGCGTATATCATGGCTGGGTCTCTAAGCGCTTGATTTGCAAGTAAGAACTCTACCTCATGGTTACCGAAAGCAGAGACTCGACTCGGTCACGTTAGAATTTGTGTGAGCCAGCTTACTAATCAGTTTCGGTGCCCCCCCCCCCGAATTCTACGTGTCCCATAATGCAAAACGCTGTACTAGATAACCGGTTGAGTAGACGCAAGCTGCAGTCTGTCACCCAAT